GATACTTGTGAGGAGTGTGCCTCTTAGTCAAGTAGATACAAGAGACTAAATGGGCAGCTTCAGTCCGGAGGTGAGATGGGAAGGCAGAGAGGGTTAGGAGCTGGCTGAATGGACATGGAGAATCAGGGGTGGAAAGGAGTAGGGTGCTGTCACAGTATAGGGAGAGCAGTTAGGGTCACAAAACAATGTATGCATAGATTTCTGTATGGGAGACTAACGTGAAATGTAAACTTCATTTAAACTACAACAATAAACAAACAAAAAAAAGAAATGAGGCTATAGGGACCTCTGGTTTCCTGTGTAACAAGCAGACACTTGAGGAACAGAAAGGCCACAGGATCCAGGAAACCAACCACTAGTGCCAAGACACTGAGGACCATCAGTGTTTCTCCTCCCCACCCACACGTGGAACTGTCCCTGAGAAGGCTACTATTGGGGCGTGCAGAACGATGACATTCACCACTTGTTCCTTTTAGGGTGTAAGGCAGCCCTTGCCTCGGTCGGAGCCCCATATACCCTGGGACTCCACTCAAAACCAAAGAAAGTGAGGACCTGGGGTTATTTTGGTGGCGCAGCGGTTAAGAGCTTGGCTGCTAACCAAACGGTCAGCAGTTCAAATTCATCAGCCGCTCCTTGGAAACCCTATGGGGCGATTCTCGTCTGCCCTATAGGGTCGCTATGAGTCCCATCTCGATGGCAAGGGGTTTGGTTTTCTTGTTTTTTTATAATAAACCCTGATCCTGGGGGAAAAGGGAAGGACAGGGAAATGGCCGCAGGAATCACTCCTAGACATACGAACCTCCTCCCCCTCGACACAACATACATTCCGACACACCCGAGTTACCACTCGATGTCCTACGTGCCAAGAACGTGAGGGTAGGACGCCCCCAGTGCCTTCCCTGCAGTAAGGACGTACTGATGGGCAGCGTCAGGCCCTGACCCGCAGCCCGTCTCCCCTGTCACTTCGGTGCTCCCTCGGCCTCACTCGGGCAGAGCGAGGCAGGAAGACCGCGTCCGCGGATCCGCTGCTCTGTTTACCTCAGTCATGCCAACCCCCACCACGAACACCCGGCGCAAGCCGGCGGATTTCGAGGGGACGGGAGACATGGTTCAGAGTAAACTGGGATTGAACTCCAGCGCTGCAGCCTTGGGCCGGAACTGAACGACGCGGGGCGGTGCTAGACCACCCATCTGGCCGAGGTGGGGCGGGGCGAAGGCGGGAGGCGGCGAGGGGGCGGGGCACGCTTGATCGGCTGTAGGCGGGGAGGGGGAGAGAGAGACAGAAAGGGAGAGAGAGAAGTGACAGCGCATGCGCAAAGGCGAGGCGCGCGCGTGCTCCATTGGGGGTGGGGAGTGTTAGCTATCCCTTTATAGACAAACCCCTGGGCTGGAAGTTCACAAGCATGGGTTCGAGACTGAGTCCACCTCAGCCTTCAAAAAGAAAAAAACGCTTTATAACCTAGTAGTAGCTACTCCACATCTCTGGGGTTCGAGTTTAAGTTCTGTAGGATGAGAGAGCGTGTAGCCTGGAGTAGAATCTGAGGCTGAGAGCAAGGGTTTCAAAAGTTGGCCAGACCTATTTTTTAAACGGGGTCACAAAGGGGTCGTGGCACGATGAAATTCTTTGGAGTGTTGGAATTCTGTATCCTCTCAGTAGTGGTGGTTATAAGAATCAATGCATGTGTTAAAACTCATATAACTGTACACCAATAAAGGTGAAGAGAGGAGTTTAGTGTAAGTAAATTAAAAAAAACAATCTGGGCTCAGTCACCAGTAGCGTGACCTTTTTACCTTCTGAAACTCATTCTCGTGTGTAGTTAGGATTAAATGAGTTAACACAAAGGCTTTAGTGTTTAACAGAAGGTATAGATAAATCGATACATTCCGGACTTCTGAGGCCTCTTCCAGCCCTAAGGGTCTGATAAGAACAGGGCTTCCAACCAGTTCTTTCCAGTTCGACCCCCTGCTGAGAATTTGGCTTTCCACCCCAGATATATCGAATCACATTAAAATGCAGATTCTTCTTTTTGTCTCATTGAAAAATTTATACCCATATTGTTTTGTGACATTGGTTGCAATCCCCACAATGTGACGGCATACTCCCCCCTTACACCCTGAGTTCCCTGTATTCAGTCATCCAGTTTCTGTCCCTTCCTGCCTTTTAGTCTTGCTTTTCAACAGAAGCCACCCATTTGGTCTCCTATATTTGATTGAACTAAGAAGCACATTCTTCACAAGTGTTATTTTTTGTTTTATAGGCCTATCTAATCTTTGTAAAGTGGGCTTCAGGAATGGTTTTAGTTCTGGATTAGCAGGGCATCAGGGGGCCATAGTCTCAGGGGTTCTTCCAATGTCTGTCAGACCAGTAAGTCTGGTCTTTTTACATGAAGTTGAATTCTGTTCTACATTTTACTCTTGCTCTGTCTGAGACTCTCTATTGTGATCCCTGTAAGGGCAGTTGTTGGTGGTAGCCAGGCACCATCTAGATCTTCTGGTCTCAGGCTGGTGAAGTTTCTGGTTCATGTGGTTTGTGATGGTTAAGATTGTGTTTCAACTTGGCTGGGCCATGATTCTCAGTGTTTAAATATGATCACTCCCATGATTGAATATACTGTGAGTAGCCAATCAGATGAAAGAGAGTTTCCTTGGGAGTGTGGCCTGCATCTAAATATAAGCAGACGTTCTGGCTTTTTGCTCACTCCGGATACTGTGGCTGCCTTCTGTTGTCTCACCTCCAGTTCTTGGGAATTGAGCTGTCAACTTATGTGCTGAAACTGGGATTCGTCAGTCTTCACAGTTTGTGGGTGGAGCCCTGCTCTCTGAAATGCCAGTCTTGGATTCACCAGCCCCTGCGGCTATGTGAATCAGAAGAAACCTCACAGTCTTGCCTGCCGATCTTGGAATTCGTCAACCTTCACAGCCTGTGAGTGAGAGCCCTGCTCTGCGACCTGCCAATTGTGGGCTCTCCAGCTTCTGCAGCTGAGTGACTTGCAAGACGCCTCTACCCTGATCCACAGACTTGGGACGTTCTAGCCTCTACAATTGTGTGAGCTATTTCCTTGATATAAATCTCTCTCTCTGTATATATTTATACGCTTTACTGGTTTTGCTTCTCTAGAGAACCCAGCCTGAGACATGGTCCTTTAGTCATTTGGGCTAGTATTTTCCTTGTGTCTGGTTTTCTTCATTCCCCTTTGCTCCGGATGGGATGGGACCAATAGATGTATCTTAGATGGCCACTCACAAGCTTTTAAGACCCCAGGTGCTACTCACCAAAGTGAGATGTAGAACATTTTCTTTATAAACTTTGTTATGCCAGTTGACCTAGATGTCCCCGATGAGACTACGGTCCCCAGGCCTCAATGTAGATTCTGATTCAGTATATCTGAGGTGGAAAACATGATTCAGTATATCTGGGATGGAAAGCAAATCCTCAGCAAGGGGTCAAACCAGAAAGAACTGTTTGGAAGCCCTGGATAAGAGCCCCTGGCAGATCTCCAAGGCAGAAAGCATCGAACAGCTGTAAAGTTGCTCCCTCTGGGAACTCTCCTGTCATTAATCCTAGGACTGCTAGAATTTTGAGGGAGCTGAAACCACCGCCCCCCACGGCTGCGGAGGACAGGGTGTGAGGCAACTGGGGAGCACTATTGCAGGTACAGCCGGAAGTGTTGGGGAGGAGGGGGCACTAGGTAGGTACAAGAAAACACATGTTTCAGCCAAAGGAAGAACTTTGGTCTATCACAGGTGTTCTGAGGCTGAATATGCCACCTGTGTAGGGACTAAGTCCCTCGTCTCTGGATAGGGGGAAGTTTAAGTTGAGGTTGACTAGCCTCAGGGATACTACAGTATCATAGCCTTGTCCCTGGGAGGAAAATTGAAACAGATGAGCCCACATTTCACAAGCGATTTTCAGTACTTCAAAAAGCCTAATAGAAATTGTACAAGAAATTGTACATTTATACTCACAACACAACCCCCAACAAAAATCACCACAGGTTCAAAATTCCCTATGCAGGCCCAACTCTACTGAATCAGCCTCTGGGGGTGAAGCCTGGACATAGATATATAGATATATATAGAGAGAGATTGATTGATTGATTGTTGTAATTAAATGAAGTTTACATTTCAAGTTAGTCTCCCATACTGGGCATAGATATTTAGAAAAGTTCTCACTGGTGATTTTAAGGAGCTGCCACCAGGATAGGTAGAGAATCACTGGGCTAGGATTAGATCAATTTAGTAAAATTTCCAGCTGATCGGGGTGGTGGTGGTTGTTGTTTTTAAGAGCTATTGGGTAAATTCATAGCGACCCCATGTGACAGAGTAGAACTGCCCCTATACGGTTCTCTTGGCTGTAATCTTTATGAAATCAGATCTCCAGGTCTTTCTCCCTCAGAGCCTGGTGGGTTCAAACTGCCAACCAGGGCCGGATTACCCAATAAGCAAGGTACGCACAGGTCCATTTGTGCCTTTCCACCAATCTGCAGTGCGCAATTTTCATCTGTCCCCCACCACGTCAAAGATGTAGTGAAACCCATGTGAAGTTGCTCATCACAGATTAGCAAGTAAGTACAATTAAGCCCCTGTGTACCTTGCTCAATGCAAGCTGATACATACCGTGTTTACTGGTTAATCTGCCCCTGCCAATGCCCAAGAATCTCTCCTTTTCGGTTATCCTCAGGGCCTAGTTCGAGGTAGAGCACTGAGGAGGCTCTTAATAAACATGCAGTTGTTTCTTGGAACTCTGACTGGCTGATAAAGTAATATGATTGATGAATCAGACAGTTACCAAGCTAATAATAGGTCAAGAAGTCACAGTGCTCAGATGATGTAACAAATGCTAGCTGTCCACTAGATATTGGTTTCAAAATAGGAGTCCATAAAGATGGAGAGGGAATAATACGATACTAAAAGGTGCTGTTGATGCTGAAAAGTTGAGAATGAACACTTCCTTTTCCAGTAATGTGGAGGGCTAGATAATCCAAGAATTCTCCTGCTACAAAACACCTAGAAATACTTGATAAAACACAGCAAACATCCTTTTAAAATGTATGGATGAGGTCAGAAGAAAGTAAAGGAGAGCTGACCACCAGAATAGTAGTAGCTACTTTGGGGAGACTTGCTGGGTTCAGTCACCTGGAGGCTTTTGAGTTTTAACTGGAACCAATGACCAGGTCTTGGACGCTACAGAAAGCCATACCCTGAAATGGCTAAATGCTCAGTGAAAGGGTAGACAAGAAAAAAAAAGTCTATCCACCAGCATAAGCAGAAAACAAGAAGTTGAGTGCCTTGGACTGGTTCTGTATGGGGAGGGGGGGCAATCTCCCTTGAAAATCCATAAAAGACCTGCCCTCATGCAGGTTAGAATAACCAAAACAATTTTAAAAAAAAGAACAAAGCAGAATTTCCAAACTTAATATCATCCAGACAGTGCGATAATGGCATAGGATAGAATACAGATCAATGAAAAAAATAGAAAGCCCAGAAATAAACTTTATGTTTATGGACAATCGAGTTTCAGCAAAGGTGCCTAAATAGTTCAGTGGAATAGTCATTTCAACAAATGGTGCTGGAAAATTGGATATCCATGTGCAAAAAAAATAAACTTACTTCATACCATATAAGACAAGCAACTCAAAATGGATCATAGACATATATATAAGAGCTAAAACTAAAATATCTAGAAGAAAACATTGGAGAAAATTTTTGTGACCTTAGGCTAAGCAAAGATTTCCTACTGTGACCCTACTCAGCATGTTTTCTCCTTTTCAAAATGGGCAACTGAGAGCTTGCCTATAAGTTTCTTTTTTTCTTTGCCTCTTCCATTTTCCTTTTCGCAAATATTTGTTAATGACTTTGTTTTGCGCATACCTTTGTTAATGACTTTCTTTTATGACTTAGGATCCCCCACAGGAAGATTAGAGCCCAGATGTTGAAGACATATCTTTAGCCTGATAAGGCAATGGTCCCTTTCCTTATCTCTTTACTATGATAAAGAGTCTCTTGTAATTATCTTGGAATAAATAATACCACTTCTAACCTTTGTAAAAATCGCATATAAACTCTAATGTAAAAATGTCTTTTGGGATTCCGTAGAGATAGACTGTGTTGCTGTTGGGTCCCCAGTAGTGTACACTTCCTGAATTAAAACTTTCTCACTCTTTCTGACTTG